ATTCTTCGATTTAACTCGCTCGATCTCCCGACGATTCATGGTGGAGAAATGTCCTCGACGAAATCTCTCCTCCTCTGTGGCTCTTTGCCTTCATTCATGTCTCTTTCATTTTTTTGGTAATGGCCATCTGATTAAATTAACTAAAACTTAAAACACAGAGGGGAAAAAACAAATAGGAACGAAGTGATTTCGTTCCAATTGGCACAGACGAGATTATACCTAGCTAAGTTTGCCTCTCTTTCATTGAATCCAAATGGTGGGTGATGATTTCGTTCCCACTGCTACCCGTAACCCCTCCTACAGGGTATTACTACGGCGGTGCATCCAGTTCCATCCCTTCACCTGGGAATCCGCACCTAGAACTGCGAATCACAACCTGTTTGCAAACAGACTCCATCACCGACTGCGCTGCCTTCCTTCTACTCGTCCTCGAATGACTCCCACCGCCACCGTTTCTGCTCCTCCGCCGCCATTAGATTGTCAAAATTCCTCTTCAGAGCCCTTATCCCCAAAACCAGTGCTGCTTGGGGGTTGAGGTCCTCTGGCGATGTGGAGATTGCGGCGAAGAGGGAGAGGAGAGAGAGGAATGGTTTGGGTTGGGTTGGAATTAGGGCTGGGTTTGGCTTGGTTTGGTTTTATTTATTTTTTATTAATTTTTTTTATGACATGGATGCTGACGAGATGGTTGACTAGACTAAATTAACAGATTTTTTTGACGGAGATAGACGGAATGACCGTTTTGGTATATGATCAAAAGTGAGTTACCAAATCGTTACAAATTAAAGATTTATGACCGTTTTGTACTAAGTGTAAAGGTTTGTGACCATTTATGTTAATTAACCAGGAAATATTCCTTTGATGTTTCAAAATCAGAACTGATTTTCGACCAGCTTTACAGAGATGGTCAAATTAAGTTGACTGGGGGGCATACTATCCCGCCAGCTGAAAAAATAAAAGGGAAACGATACTGTAAGTGGCACAACAATGTGTCTCACTCAACTAATATGTGTGTAGTGTTTCGAAACGTGGTGCAGGATGCTATTGAAAAAGGTCGGTTCAAGGTACCGGAGCCGAGGAAGGAGGCCATGATTGGTGACACTGACCCGTTTCCCAACGGTGTGAGCGTCAATCTGGTCAACGTTGTGGGGGGCAACATTGTCGAAGCTCTTTTGTACCACAAAGACCTTGGTCCTCAAAAAATTAGGAGTATGGAAGGGGGACCATGCAACGTCAAGCACAAAGGTGTTGGGTAAGGCATGCTTGAACTCGTTGTCCGAGATTGTGAGACCATCAATGCTTGCGTTAGGTGGTCCACCAAAATTTGAGTAAGCCACCTCAAGAGAGGGTGGCGAAGGCCGAAATTACGGCCTCGCTTGAGGGGTTGCCGATCGACGGCGACGATTCGAGTAAAGAAGTGAGAAAGGAAGCAGTGTTGCCGACATTGCGGAAGAAATCAACCTTGGCGCGAAGGAGGATCCACGTTCAACTTTCATAGTGCCATCTTGAATGAATCTAACAGGTACGAGTTAACTCTGCTTCTGATTGGCTTCAAAGATTGTTTTATGTGTGAATGTCATGAAATACTGCATGTGCATGTTGCAGTCTTGGTAGCTAGACAATTTATTGATTTTTATCTCAGATTGTCAAATAAGTGAAGTACTGAGCAACATAGACGCTAACGGCGTTGTACCAACATGATCATGGTCGTTGGAGTTTAGTGGGGGGTTTGTCACGCTATGTATGTGATTTTTCTTTTGACCAGAATTGGTAAAATTTGGGCAGGTCACTATGTTGTTTAACTAACCATTATGTCGACAAAGTAGAACTTCTGTTTTACTTCTTTGTTTTATCGATGATGGTTAAATAAGAATGGATTAAAGACCAATTATGGTTCTTGTTGTGAACAATAATGTTTTGGCCTCAATGCCGAAAACTTGCATTGATATAGATAGAGTTGTTTGGGCCAAAGCAACGTTGTTACAATTGGTTGCAGTGTTGCAGGAGGAAACGTCATTGAGAAGGAAGGAAATAACGAAAAAAAGAAGAAGAGGCCAAGCGTTTATGGAAAGCTTGCCGCAATGTTGAGGGAAAAGAAGAAAAGCAGAGTTGTTTTAGAAAAAAAAAAAAACACAGTTTGGCAGGGCTGTTGAACGCGAGTGAGAAGGAAATCAGAGCTGGTTGCAAGGCGGTTAAAAAAAAATGATGAAGTCTCTCAGCGCTGCGCTGTTGCGGGAACCAAACAGCTCTGATGAAAAAAAAAATTGTAATGCGTGGCGGCATGCAGCGCTGGTAGAGGATAATAAAAAAAAATGATTATGCATGCAGCGCTGCCCGCTAACAGCACTGAAAAAAAAAAAAGAAATTCTCAGCACTGCGGCCAAGCAATGTCACGGCTGTTGTGGGAGTCTAACAGCTCTGCCGACAAAAGGAGTAGTGTTCGGTCGAGCAGCTCTAATATAAAAAATAAAAAAATAAAAAAAAAGCAAAAATTTGTTATTAAATAACGCATGCTGCGCTGCCGCTGTTGCTAGCAGGCCTGATAATAATAAAAAAAAAAGTGTAATTCGACCATGACAAAAGAAAGTGGCTCAAGCGGAGAGGTTTTACTCCACGGCGTCGGCGCTGATGGCTGTTGCAGCTTTGCAATAGAGTCGTGAGGGCTCAAAAGACTAATTGCGGTTGGCGGCCGGGTAATTTTTGTTTAAAAGAACAAAAAAAGAATATATGGCAAACATGACTGCTTTGGGAGAATTGCAGGGCTGTTTCTTTCCTTAGCGCGCAGTGGTGGCTGCAGTGGTGGCTTGTTGGGATTGTTTATTATGTTTAATAAATAAATAAATCAATCAAGGTAACACTGGTTGCAGCCTTGCAAGTTGCACTGCAGAAGAATAACAAAGCCATTTTTGCTAGTTTTGGCCAAAGCAATGTTTTCTAGTGCATTGGCCAAACTGGAATTAGTCATTAAGTGTAATTTTACGTGATTTAAATTTTGTCAAGAATTCGGTTCATAATTCTTATAAACCAAATTGTCATTTGTTGACACCTAAAATTAATTTGGCCGAAATTAAATGCCGCATTAATTAGTCTCGGCATTTAATTCGATACCGCGGGTAAAAAACGGTGTCGTTTGGAGTCGAGCGGTGTCGCGGAGAGTTAAAACGATACCACGAAACAGAAAAGCGTTACCGCAAGAAAGCTCAGCGGTACCGCGACACAGAAAACGACACCGCCGGAAAATAAGATGGGCCGCGCGTTTTGGTATTGGTGTTGGAAAAGGAGTTTTTATTGTTTTTATTGTTATTCCTTGTTGGAAGGGGAGAAGCGGTACCGCATGGGGACAAGCGGCACCGCGGAGAGTTAAAACGGTGCCGCGGATTTAAAAAACGATGCCAGCGGAGCCTTGATGAGACGTACCGATTAATTAAAAACCATACAAGTAATTGACCAAAATTGGCCTAGTCCGAGGCGAGTGCAGACTGGCGGCGGTTCCATGGCGGTACCGTGAGCAAGCCCAATGGTAATGCCGTATACTAGCAAACGACAGTGGTTAAAATAAAAAACAATGTCGCAAAAGGAAAAACAAACGGAGCCGTTTTGGCGCTAATGATGTCGTTGGTCAATACACGAGTTGGACTAGTGATGGCTAGATTAATTAATTAATATTTTTAATGACTTTTTAGCACGGTGTTGTTTAGTTGAAAACGATGTCGCAAGAGGAAGAAACTACACCGCGGATTTAAAAACGATGTCGCGAGTGGGCCAAACGATGCCGCAGTAGTTAAAACGACAATGTTAAATTTAAAGCGGCATCGCAAAGTTCAACAGCATCGCAGAAATAGAAAGCGATGTTGTTTAATTAAGAACGGCGCCGCGAAGTGAGAGTTTGACGGCGTGTCAACAATGATGGCCGGTTTAATTCATTAATATTTTAAGGATCAGTCTAGACGGTGTCGCTTTAGCCGAAAACGACATCGTGGGATATATCAACACCGTCGCGGTACTGAAACGATGTTGTTTAATAGAAAACAACGTCGCAGTGACGAGAGTTCAGCAATTGTGGATTTTGGCTCGGCGTCGTTTTGGCCAAGTTTCCGTGTGTCCAAGCGGTTTCGCACTCGTGGGAGTTACGCAACAAGGAGGAAGTTACCTGCACGGTTGACAGGAATGAAGACGTGGGAGGCAAAGGCGCGAAGACAGTTACCATGACTGCGGGGACAAGAGCGAAGTTTAAAGATCGGGAAGAGAGAGAAGCTAATAACGGGAAAATCAAATCTCAAACTGCACCGTCGCAGAATTATAAGTTTTTCTCTCTAGTTCGTAGAACTTCTCTGTCAAAGACCTCCTTTGCAGAGTCGTAGTAGTCGTAGATTGTAGTCGTAGTTGCGGAGCTCTCCAGAGGAACCTCCATAGGAGTAGAGGTAACGTAACTTAGAACACTCCTGGTTCGATTTTCTGGTTATTCGCCGAACACCCTCGTTCGAACGTAGTTTGGAGAGGTGGTGAACCGAATAACGGTTGTTTGATTAGAAGTCAAAGGGGCATCGATCAAATCAACATCGCCTACGCCGACGGTGGATATTTGACGGTCGTCTTTGTTTCTGTTCGATCGATCAAATCAATGACGCCGACATTCGACGGCGGATATTTGACGGTTGTGATTGACTTTGTGTTTTGTTGAAAACAGTGTGCATTGAACACGCGAGTTTCGCCAACAAAACACCTTCTCCCTCCCCCTCCCCTATAAATAACAAAAAAACTGTTTCCTTCCACATCTGCACTAACTAAAACAGAAACACTAAGCATAATCCCAAACCATGGATGATCCCATCAAATTTCATGTAATTTCCTACCTTTGCTACTCTGTTTTTTTTTTTGTCAAGAGAGTGACCAGTTAATCAATGGGTACTGAACCCTTTTTTCTTTGTTTTTTTGGTTTCTCCCTTAATTACCTTCAGGTGAAGAAGAATGGAGTAGGGATCCTACTACTAGTAGTAGCACTAATGGCGGCATCAACGGATTGCAGAAAAGGAAAGGTAGTCGACTCCTTGGACGAGTACATTGCGGTGAACTGCAGAGCCCACAACGCTTCCATAACAGAGTTCGGAGCAGTTGGGGACGACAAAACTTCCAAAACCAAGGCGTTCAAGGACGCCGTGGATCACCTCGCCCAATTCTCGTTGGACGGCGGGTCACAACTCTACGTCCCCGCCGGGAAATGGCTGACCGACAGCTTCAGCCTGGTCAGCCACTTCACTCTGTTTCTCCATCAGGACGCCGTTCTTCTTGCCTCCCAAGTAGGGCTGTCACTCGGTCGGTTTCGGTTTAACCGAAAACCGAATTGTCGGTTATCGGTCAAACCGAGACATCGACCAGAGCTACCGCCAACCGACCGCCCGTGAGCCTCGGTTAGCCGCAAACCGACCGATCGGTTTCCGGTTTCGACTCGGTTAGCCGGCCAACCGGAAACTACCTTTATAAAAAAAAAATTAAAAGCAACAAAAAAATCAGCACCACACACTCCTAACCTAACCCTCTGTTTCTCGATTCTTCTTCCCCTCTGTTTTCTCGATTCTCTTCCCAGTCTATCTCTCTCCCTACTCTCTCTCTCTATTCTCTTCTTCCTCTGGAAGGAAAATCGAACATCCAACTCCCTCGATTCTTCTTCCCAGACTATCTCTCTCCCTATTCTCGCCTCCTCCCTCGATTCTCTCTCTCGATTCTGCTGGTGTTGGCGGCGGGGCGACGGGGCTGAGGACCGGGGTGGAGTGAAACGACGTCGTGGTCTTCTCGCCGTCGTGGGAGTCGCGGGAGGGGCTCTGGACGAAGTAGGCTGGGCGGCGGGGAGATCTGGTCGGCGACGACGGCGGCAGGCTGGTAACCTCGGAGTCGGTTTTGGCATGCATTTTTTTGGGTTTTGTTTGGGGTAATGGGAATGAATGGGAAAGCTGGGTGAAGCAGAGAGAAGCTTGTTCAGGCGGAGGAGGGAGCAAAATGGGTTTTATGGGAATAGGGGCAGTGAAGGGGAAGGTGGAAAATGCTGAGGGAGCTTCGTGTTCGTGTTCGTCGCGATTCATGGACGGCGACGAGGCGATGGAGGGAGGCGGCGACGAGGCGTGCCTGTTCCTCTGTTCTGCGCCGCTGCCTGCCGTCGGGACCGTCGAAAGAGAAGAGGGTCGGGTCTCTAGGGGAAGGGGAAATGGGGAATGGATTTGGTATAGGGTTTGGTTGATTTGGGATTTGGGATTAGTTGGAAGAGAAGAGGGTCGGGTCTCTAGGGGGGAAGATGGCTTTGGATGCGGCGTCGTTTAAGGAAAGGGCAGGGGGTCGGTTAGCCGGTTAACTGCCGGTTTCCGACCCCAGTTAGTCGGCTAACCGACCCCCTGATTTGCTCTACCGTCAACCGACCGTGCTCTTCAGGTTCGGTTTTTCGGTTAGCCGAAAACCGATCGGTTCGGTTGAAACCGTCCGGTTAACTGCTAACCGGAAAACCGTCTGCCAGCCCTACTCCCAAGTAAAGCAACGTAACGTAAACCCACCAACCTAATGTAAAAAAGCAACTGAACATTTTATTGATTTCCATGAGATTTTGCACGGCAGGACATGAATGAATGGCCGGTGCTGAAAGCTCTGTAATAATGACGTATGTAAGGTCTGTGAATGGCCCCTGTAATAAACTAATAGTGACGTCTGTGAGATTGGTTCCAAATATCAGACTCGCAAATCTCCCGCTGGCAGCATCCCTTCCTCTGCCGTACGACGGGGCCATCATGACATTCGACAATCATCAGGTCTAGCCACGGGAAGCGAGCCCTGTTGCGGCCGGACTCCGGACGGCAGGTCGGAGGTTTTTCATCATGAGTCGGCGGGGAGATTAGGATTTTTTTTAATTTTTATAATAATTAGGTGAGAAATAAAAAATAACTAAATTTAATAATTTTTTATTTTTTAATTACCACGTCACTCATTTAATGGTCAACTATAAACGTTGACTGCCACATCAGCAAAAGTTAACGGAAACAAACAGCGAGTGACCAAACTTGGACTATTAACCTAATTTAAGTGACTACGAAATACGAATAGAATAAATTAATTTTAGTGGTAAACGTATACTTTTAAAATAATTCCAGTGAAAAAAAAACAGCAGTTTATGATAAATCACTTGCTAGCTACCTCTATCTATTCACTTCTTCGTCTTTGTAAGAGATTCTCCTACCCTCTGTTCTGTCCTTGCCAACACCAGGCATCCATCCAATACAACAAAACCCTTCCCAACTCGCAGATTCCCCGGCTCAATACTCCAATAGCTAAATTAGTAAATTCTTATTCACGTCTTACAATAATTTGAGTTATAAAAGAACTTTCAAATACTCATTTTAAACTAGTGGATAATGAAGTTTATTCTTTTATTATATCACTAAAACTTAATTATTGAATTAGGAATGTAACTATGTAACGAACTTGTTGCATAGTGTCCTAACTTGTAACATATGCAACAAGTTCTTTCATTGTTTTTATTTATGATGATGAGCCAGCAGGAGACAGAACTTTTCAGCAATATGCTTTAGTTGTGCACAGTGGCTATGTCTGTCTCTCTCGTGACTCCTTCTGCATCTACATCCTCCATCCCTATTCAGTTCAGTATTCCCCACATTGGATGGTTGGTTGGACTACTGGACCGTCCATTCCTCTTCCTCCACTTCATTTCTTGCTCCCTCTGTTTCACTTTGCAAGCTTGCTATGTGATTTGACTTCTTGGTGTTGATCAGTAAAATAGGAAATCTAATATTTCAGTCCCCATGACTCAACCATATATGTGCCCATTGAGCAAAAGATCTTTTGCTCTGCTATACAGACTAAAAGAGACCGAGCTCCCTACTGCGCGCAACTCTGTGAAACTTTGGAAAAGCTAATAAGCAGCTAGTCAACCATACACATCAGCCTCATTCGTTTGAAGGGTACTTGATGACGGCCACTCGTGTATACGTATATGTATGTGTGGTACTTTAGAGATGACAATTTTGTCCATACCTATAACTATGATAGTAGAATCAATGCATGTATTGTAATGTACATGTATTAATAGAATGGTTGTATTATAAGTGTTGGGGTAATAAGGATAAGCCTACGAAAGTAAAGAGCCCGTTGGGCCGGAGGTCCACTTAGGATCTATCTGGGGCATAACCCATGGTTAGGGTGATAGAAACAAGCCCATGGAAAGCAGGTGCCTATTGGGCATCAAGCCCATTTATGGCCCATGAGGGCATAACCTAGACAGCCATGAAGGAAAAGGGGGCGCATGACGACAAAATAGGCTCGCGGACAAAGAAGTACGGATGGGCAAGGTCGGAAGGGCGCCATGAGGCCAGTGGTCCCCCTATGCGCCCCGACGTGGAAAACGGACAGTGTGCCACGTGTAGGCGCGTAGGCGCCAGGGCCGACCAGGCATTTAATGCTAGGCTGACGTAAGGCTTGGTGGCAGGAGTTGGTCGGAGCTTGGTCGAGAAGCCCGAGTAGTATAAATAGCACTTGGTAGGTAGCATTTAAGCAGGTCGGTCTTTCTCACACTAAACTTCTTTCTTCACTTCTCTCTCTAGAGTTGCTCCTGACTTAATCGTTGGAGTGCTAACGGACGGGTCTAGCCCACTAGGCGCCCGTCCTGCAGGGTCCAAGCGCTCGGCGTGAAGTTGTGGTGGAGCCACGTGGGAGGAAGTGTATTGTGGCATCAACAATTGGCGCGCCAGATAGGGGGCGTTCGGCAAGTTAAGGCGGATGGAAGACTTGAATGTAGATAGTGTAGGCGCAGAGGATACGGGAATGGAGAACTCCAGTCGTGAGGGGAGCGAGCAGCGGGCAAGCCCGGTAGTGACCATGGACGTAGAGGACGAAAGTCGTGAGCGCCCATCTATGGAGAGTGATTCGTTGTCAAAGAGGGAGCTGTTCAAGATTATTGCTGACCAAGACCGAGCAATAGCAATGCTTCGGAGGGAATTGGAGGGAGGAAGGAGCGCTGATACAAGAGAATATAGCCCCCCGGTGAGGAAGCGGGATAGGCTCATAGATGATTCGGAGGTTAGCGAGTATGGGCGCCCGGGCTATGAGGGCCACAATCCGGAGGTAACGCCACCTAGGCGCCCAGGTGTGTGGAGGGCGCCAGGCGAGTGGACCATCCCGGCGCCGGAAGAGCAGAACCCATGGACGCCCAAGAGTCAGGCCAGGCGCTTTGGAATCAGACAACCCTTAGCGCAAAGTGTGTTAATGGAACCAGCGGGAACCACCCTCCCGCCGCTGACCAGCTATGATGGAGTCACCGACCCAGAAGATCACCTGAATAGCTATTTCACAAAGATGCAATTGTACAATAGCACGGATGCCACGTTGTGTAAGGTGTTTCCTTCGACGTTCGCGGGGGGTAGTCTTAGATTGGTATCATCAGTTGGAGGAGGGGCGCATCGAATGCTTTGAGCAATTTGCAGAGCTATTCTTGTCCAAGTTTGCTAGCCGTAAGCGGCGGACGTTGACTATAGGCGCATTGTTTAAAATCAAGCAGAGAGAGGGTGAGGCGCTTAGAGAGTTCTATGACCGCTGGATTTCGGTCGCCATGGCCGTGAAGGACGTGCAACCGCCAGTCCTGGGAGTGTGTCTGGAGGAGTGTACGAATAGTGACGAGTTGTGTCAGGTGCTGTCTAAGAGGGTTGTGGTGTCAACTGAAGATCTGGATCGAAGGGTTCAGAAAGTTATTGCCTTGGAGGAAACGTTGGCCGCGAGGAGGGCAGAGAAGAGGCGCGTTGGTAGGGAAGAAGTTGAGGTGCGCCAGGCGCCTAGGCCATTCGTTATGAACAACGCCTCCCTGCGCTTTAGACCCTCCCTCCTCCACTTGAAATACCCCCGCCTCCGTTCGAGCTGAATCAAGAAGGGGAACCCAATCGGGTTAGACTCACGGTGGAATCCATAACCGGAACCGTCGATTTGCGGGACAAGTTGGACAGGTCTAGGCGCCTCCGAGCTGCATCTGTGGAAGCGAAGGCGGCCGTGCAAATATGCTTTAATCAAGAGGCGGATGAAGCGTGTCAAGTACCCTCAGAGGAAGCTTTGGAGATACAGGGAATCATTGCAGGGTGTAAGGTCAAGAGGATGTTGGTGGATACGGGAAGTTCGATGGATGTTCTGTTCAAAAGCACGTTCGAGCGCATGCAGCTGGCGCCGGAATTGGTAAGCCCCTCTGATTCGTTGCTGATAGGGTTTTCGGGGGCGCCGACCCATGTGATCGGGCGCGTGCGCCTCCCGGTAACATTGGGCGACGAAGTGCATCGAGTGACACATGCCGTGGAGTTTGGGATAGTGGATTGCCCCTCGCCGTACAACGTCATACTGGGAAGACCCCTGTTGGCGTTATTCAATG